ATTTCTAAAATCGTTTTATCTTGATAGAAAAGTTATCCAGAAAAAATTCTTTATCAATGTTCATGTATACTGATAATTCTCGCAGTGCCATGTCGTATATTATATTTCATAACCAATAATATAATATTTGGTTATGTTGAAGATGGTCTTGTATCACTTGCTATACCAGGAACATTTTTGTATTTTCTATTTTTTGGACGAATTTATGAAATAACAGGTGCATTTATCGTTATGATATTTGAGATGATTACCGGAGATATAGCTACATTTGGTGTCATTTATATAATTGTCATCACAGCTTTCGGTCAAGGTAGAAAGAAAAATATTGATGAATTTCATTTCTTGTGAAATTATTTTTTTTGTTTAGTTTTTTATTTATTATTTCGAGATACTACTGAAGGTGGATATTGTGAACGTGCGGTAACAAATGATACATGTAGTAATGATAATTTGTGTTCATTTCAAAACTTTGAAGCTTGGATGACCATGCTTCATTTTACATTGGGAGAATTTGATGTAAAACTTATTATTTGATTTATTTATTTATTTGATTTATTTTTTGTTTAGTTTTCTCGTTTTGATTTAACACATTATTCGTATTTAGTGAAAATTTTATTTATTGTTTTTATGATATTAACACCTATACTTTTGTTAAACATGTTAATTGCTTCTATGGGTAATACATATCAACGTGTGATTGCAATTAGTGAAAAAGAACGTATTCGACAGGTTTGAAAAGTTTTCAAGGCCACATCCCTTTCTCAACAGTCTATCTATGGTTAGGCGTATTCAAATTGCATGAAACTTTCAAGATGTGTTGGGATGAGGCTATAGTGAAGAGGCTATAGTAAAGTTTTCAGCTGTATATCATCATGTTTTTGGCAGATATTCAAAAAATAAGGGTCACAAGTAGCTCGTTTGTTTACTAGAAACTCTCTGCGTGCCTTCATTCTATATACTTAATTATCTTTTTATTTGAAAGAACATGTCAGGATGCAAAGTATGATAGTCTTTTTTTAAATGCTTACTTTTAAAGCCGGGAAGATTTCAATGTTTCACAAAATGGTGCTCTAATTATATAAGTATCCTTTATATAATAGCAATAAAGTTTAATTAAAAAAAATGAAGTCGGTCATGCCTTGCATCTTGACATGCTCTTTTGAAACATAAAAAAATTAAATGTATAGCATGGAGACTCACAAAGAATTCTAGGTTACGCGATCAAAAGCGCTTAAACAAAAAAAAGAAGCAACATGTCCCAATTTTTATGAAAATAGCATATTTTTCAAGCTCATGATAGCAGAAATCATTTAAAATTTTGACAGAAAAACGAAGATGCCGAATAAAAAAAATCATATAATTTATTCAAGATCACGCATCGACCTGTATTCCTATGCATTTATCTTAATTTTCATTTTTGTTGAGAAGGAGGCGCAGAGATAGTTTTAAACAATTTTTATTTTAATTTTATTGACGTTAATTTTTGTTTTTGTAAGTGGGCTCAACTGGTATTAACAATTGAAAGATCCTGCCCTGCAAAACAACGATTTGATTATCAAGGTGTATACGCCATTGGTGCTGATGATAAACGTGATTTAATGGTTATAAAACGAGCAACAAAAAGTAAAGCAGCTCAAAGAAAAGGAGCTATTGGTAATTGGAAGGTAAATCTTAAACAAACAAAAATAATAACACGAGTTTTTCAAGATTAAAAAAAAATAAAATCATACAATAAATCTTACTGATCAAATAACATTTATGACATGTTTTAAATGATGTTTTCTTTTAGCGAATTGGAAAAATTGTTCTTTACTTACTAAAAGAACAACAAACAACAGCTGATCATGTTCGTCTTCGTCGTGTATCACATCAATCTGTTGTATTTAAACCAAAAGCACAATTTGATAATATGCTGGAAACTCTTGCATGGGAACGTGATATTGATTTATCTGGAGCAAAAGGATTATCATCATCAAATCAAAATATTAATTTAGGTTCAACACAAAATACAGCAGAACTAAATTCATCAGTATCACATCCACCTTCACCTCCACCTCCACAATTTGTAACTGGTGAATTTCCACCCCCGTCGTCAATACCACAACAATTAACCGGTGATAGAAAACCAATGCGTCGTTCAGAATTATCTGAACTTCGTTCTCGACCATCATTTGTTGATTATGAAGATTTAGAAGTATTTCGTCATAAGCGATCGTTAGCTAGAGCATCAAATGTTGGGCATTCCCAACCAACTCGACGAATTTCTATGATGCCTGTTGATGCTGATGGTTATAAAGATTTACTTCTCGATGTTGATAATAGTCATCAACAAGATGATAAAAAAAATAAATTTAATAAATTTATATCTCATGGTACATCGAATATGAGTATTAAATCAAAAATAAGTGAAACAACAATTTGTTAGTCGTTTCTTTTTTTCCGAAGCACATATTATTTTTTTTTTCTGTCTCTGTGCACATTTCTTTTTTAATAGATCAAAACAAAATGAAGATCACGTTTAGAAAATAATAAAGCATATAAATGAAATAAAGAATTTTCTTTTTTGTTTTGTTTCTATTTGTCGATTTTTACAATAAAAAAAGACACTATTAAATAATGACAAATAGATTATTAAATATATTTTGTGTGCATATCAAAGAACATACATTTGAAAAAAAAAAAAAAGTTAAAATACAAGTTATTTCTATCGTGATTGATTATCACCTTTAAAACCTTGAACATAACCTGTCTTATCCACATCATCAGAACGACCTTCTTTACCCTTACCATGACCTTCTTCATCAAAGCGTTCTTTATGTGTACCTCTACAAAAAAAAATATATATCATTACGAAAAAGAAATTTATCAATAATTATCATATGATTACGTATATTGTGATGTATCTGTCATTCGATCTGTAATATCTTTATTTGCAATTTCGGTTACTTTTGTAAGACTAGGACCTTCATTTTCATTGATTTTAGCTAAAATTTCATCAGCACTAACACCTTTTGATTCAGCAATACGATCAATTAACAATTTAAAACCTTTGATTTCAAATGTTTTTCTACATAAATAAAGAATATTAATTTGAATTGATAATTTTTTTGTTTGTTTTTACTTACGTTCCTTTTGGATAATGAGGACAACCAGCTTCAGGTGTTCCTGTTGTTAATTTTCCAAGCACACGTGCAATATCATTATCCAATAATTGTGATGTATATTTGGAATTAATTAATGAACAATCTTTCATCATTTTTTGTATTCCAGCTGAACCTATTCGAAGTTCACTATGATCAGTTAATTGGGCATGACTTTTGCCAAATTTAGAGTATTTATCAAAGGCTTGTCGTAAGCCTGATGATACAGAAGATTTTGATGCCATTGTAATATGGAGATATGTCTATCAACGCGGTTAGAAATGTGTGTGAGTAAGGAAGGCAGAATAAAGAATATATTATAGGACTGTCGTCGCTCTCTATATAATTAGAATGGGGCTTTTTCTCGCGTTTTTTTTCGTTCCTGCTTTCCGGAAAAAAGACTCGTCGCTGATGCCCTAGGCAGTCGTTCGTTGATGCCTGTGTTATAGATCATTTCTTCTCTTCTTTTTTTCCTACTTTGTCTATTCTGTCGCACATTCTTATCTGTTACTGTCGTTTTTTTATTCTCGTCTTGTGTTGTCATTTCAGAGTCAGTCAAACAAAATGAAATAGAGGAAAAGAGGGAGCAAGAGCTGTGAAGAAAAAGGAAAAAAAAAGATATATAGCTTCAGTCCTATAGCTAACATGCAAAGCTTAAACAAATTGATGAACGTTCATGACATGAAAAGCTAATCTATTATTTTGTTTTAATAAGATATTACTTGATCATTTTCATGATGCTAGATATGGATTCAATTTCTTTGTTCATGTATTACATTTAAATAAAATTTTTCTCAAATTGATAAAAATAAATGATGCCAATCAACAGAAGCATTGGGCTAAAGAATCACAAAAGAACTTAATGACCTCAGCTCTTTAAAACTGTAAGCGAAAATGATAATATTAATAATCACTATCATTTTCACTGACGTACACATCCGCGTCAACTAACACATTTAGATCAGTATATAACAAATAATGATAGAAAAACATAAAAAGAATAATTACTAAGTCGTATGTGATAAGGAAAAAAATTAATAACGATAAAAGTGGAAGTTTATTGACAAGAGTGAACAATTATATAATGTACGTTTAAGAAACATGTAAAAAAGAAACATTTCTAAATTCAATAAATTCGTGTAAATTTTATTAAAATCAATTAGTCAAGTAACTTGAAAAAACATGAAATCAGTAAATATGTATTAAAATGAAGCTTTCATATAATTAAAATAACACAAAACTAATTTTATTCTCGTGTTGACAACAAGATGATTCATTATACAATAAAACTTGAGTACTCACTATGTCAAAATCTTATAAAACCATAACAATAATCCATATTCATCAAATATTTTATAAACGACAACATTCCATCAATTTTTTATTTTTCTTTGTAACATTAAAAAATAGTTCAACGTTAACAGAATATTGTATTTTTTTACTTTCATTAAGAGCGTGTGAAACACCAAGAGGAAAAAACAAAAAGCAAGCTGAAGATTACAATCAAGTTACTTTTATAGACAAAATGGGAATAGAAAAAAAATATTTATCATGTTTAACAAATAATAATCAATAATTTTTTGTCCAGATGAGAAAATATATTAGATTTTTGGCTATTCTATGCATTATTATATGAAAATGAAAAAAAGATAAAAAGTACAAATAACATAAGAGATAATTCCATCGAGAAATCGAACCATTATTTTTATTTCCAATTATGAATTTTTTATTATTTGTCAAATCCAATCGAGTAATGCATCGATTTCTTTTTCATCACTTACGTGTATTTCACGCATACACCACAAGTGTTCTTGTCCGATCAAAAAAGATTTTTATTCAGTCTTATAATTTCTTTCTAGTATGCAGCCTTGGGCTCCTTCATCTATGGTCGTTTTTTCGTTTACATTTCGACTTTTATGCATTATTTTTTGCATTATTACTGTAGTAAGTAAACATTTTTGAGTTTTTAATAGCGGTTATTGAGTATAATATTTTTCATAGAGAATTTTTATTTGATTTATAAGTGACTGCATGATGAATATTTATTTTCATTTTTAGACACCGTACCAAATCAGTTATCGTCCTTCAATTGGAAATCGAAATGAACGGGCTGTAACTGAATGGCGTTTTCGTCGTCATTATTTACTTAATTATCCTAATCTTGAACCAAGTTTTGAGGACGTAAGTTTATTTTAATTCATATTTTTATGTGATATTTGTTTTTGTTTTTTTCTCTTTTCAAAGAAATATTCGATAAACGATGAATCAAATGATTTTAATCAAGATGACGACATCAAATTCAATGAAAAAAAATTGATTATTCCTCAATTGATGTACCCTCAGAATAAAAGAGTAAAATAATGACTACATATTATCTAAAATACTTGAAGAGAAGTATAACAATAAACAAGAAAAAAATATAATATATCATTTTTATTTGTTGTTTTGTGTTTTTTTCGCTTCAAAACTTATATAGTCAACTAAACGTTCGAAATGAGTACTTCTATCATAAAAGGAGAAAAAAACGAAATGAAAAAAAAACTGCTTAACAATGACGATGGAGAAATGGTAGAGAAGAGTAAAAAGAAGAGAAAAGAAAATTGTAAAGTGAAGAGTTTCACATTGATGGCAGTGTTTACCGGCAACCATTGCAGCCAGCAGGCGAACAGGCATGGCAATCCCATCTATATGTATATTGTGTTGAAGAAAGAAAAGTAAAGTTTAGTGCTTTCAAGTGAGTGTTGACAACAAGCAAAAGAGAAGAGAGAAAGACTGAGAGAGAAAAAGTTTGTATGTATGTAAGAAACTAAGCTCAGAGAAAAAAAAATGTGATGATTCTCATAAAATAGTGAGTTGAAAAGGATACAATGTCAAATCCTGCACAAGTTTTATCGAGACATCGAAAAACACCATTGCCACCTGTAGTACCAACACGACAAACTCTCATATCATGGACACATGGTAATCAAAAGGGTAGGTGTATATGTGCATGTGTGGTTGAATTTGTATGTTAAATGTAATTGACTAATCTCAGCAAGAGGAAGTTCTGTGTCATCTACTATTTAATCGTAAACAGACATGATAAAACGAAATGATCTGAAGGGACAAAATATACGTTGTTCGTAATTTTATGTTGTCATATACTCTACATATAGTAACAACAAAGTACATGATGATGAGTAAAAGGTCAAACACCTGTGCATAAAATGTGTTTTTTTGGTTTCGTTTTATTATAAGAAATGGTTATCGGTGAGAATTTTCAACGTATATTTTTTTCTTCTTTTCCTTACTTAAATATGTTTTTTGAATAATATGTTGTTATATATGTATTGACAAATGAGATAACAAAAAATTTTCATATGATAAATGAAAATTTGTCTTGTAACAGTTTATATTATTGTATTCTATTTCCCACAAGAACTATACATTATAATTGAAACAATCTGTTGGACTTTGTCGTTTTGAAGTATATATACATAAAACGAGCGAGAGAGAGAAAGATGTATCATATCAATATGACTTCTTATTTGTTAATGTACTGGTTTCAATATAAGCATTAATATGCATTAAATGTCTTTTTTCATTACTAATTTCTAATCATCCATAATAGATCCTTTCGATGGATTTTCGTTAGAATAATAGATAAGAAATAAAAACTACTGTGCATACTAATATAAAGGTCGATGGCAAATAGAATGGCATCATTGCTATCGTTATTATCTATAGCGAAAATGCCAATGTGACAACTACGAAGACTATGATGCCATTTTAACGTAAAACATAAATCCCACTTAAGATATAGTAAACGAGGTTTTTTTTTGTCATGCATTTATTCTTCTTTTATCGAAGAGTCCCCGTGTATTGACGTACGCAAGTTTATTTTTCATGTCTCGTTCGTTAAGCTATTATATTCATTGTTTCTCATTTTCTCATATACTGCTCGGTGTCGAGACGGAGTAGTAATCATTAATTCGGATCTGGACGTATCACTGGTGTATCTGTTTCGCCTACTTAGTTTGTCTTCTCTTTTTTGTCTTTTGCATTCGCTTGCACGATTCTCCGTTCTCTTTTCACATCTATCCTCAATAATTACAACAAAAACAAGAGAACGATGACGTCGATGACGAAAAGAAGAGTGAAGAACGATAGAATGCACACACACTACGGTATGCATTCTATATAAAAGAGCGCTCTCCTTAGCGGCAACGACGCGAAGATCAACACACATACTAAATCCGATCAGTAGTATTATTGACTTCATTCAAACAAATTGATTAAAAGTGAAGGTAGAATTAATTATAATAATCATACTAAGTGAAGTATACAATAAAGACCGAAAACGGTGCCCCGTCGATTTGGATCGTCTTGGTGGCTGTTGGCCGAACGGTATGATGATGATGATGATTCGGATTACATGATAGAAGAGAATGATAATAATGATCATTGCTCTTTACCACCGGCCAAGCGTATTAAATTGGGTAAGTGACTTTTTTTCAGATAAAAAAATCATATTAATGATCTTCCGAATCAGCAAATCCTATATCTAATGTATATTTGAAAAGATCTGTCAACTGACAATCTTGTCAGATAGATAAAGATTTACAAAGATGTGGCTCCATCTGCTAATTCATTTTGTTGACAGTTATTTATCTATTTAACTGAAGGAGACGGATATACGTGCGTAACTTAGCTACAATGTCGCCGCTGACATTCTTATAACCGTATTTTAGCATAGCATACATGTATACCTACGGATGGTTGATCTTCTTCTCTTTTTAGTGTTCTCTTCTTTTCTTTTTTTTCTTTCTATATTTCTTTTTTACTTATTCATGTTTGTCGCCTCAAAGAAAACTTTGAGCTAGAAATTTTAAAGAAAACATTTGTAGGTTATATCGATCATAATAATTATTCATACGATTAGTGTTAAATAAATGTAAAACTTTAGAAAAAAAACTTTATTTTGTCGAATAAAAACATAAAATCGATCTTATTTATTTTTTTATCGAAATTGTAATGCTTCATTAGAAATTACTTTTTTTTTCAAAACATGTGTTTAATCGTCAGATATACCCGTACAGGTGTCTATCGATCTTCGTTTTCAAAATAACGTATAATATAGTTTTATTGTTTTCATTACCAATCACTGATATGTAACGAAAAGGTTTCGTTGTTTTTATTATTTTACTAGGTGTTTTTCGGAATCATATAACCCAATTTTCTAAGCTTTTGCATAGCTAAGTGAATATAATTCATTGAATAAACCTGTCATTTTGATTGTGACATTTTCGTTTCTTTTTTTCTTTTTACGATTGTACGTCGAATCATTCATCGTTTTAATACTGATTGATTTGACGCGTTTAAATGAACGATTATACACAAGTGTTGTTTTTATGTTCGAATTGTCTAGGTGAAGGTCAAGATGGAAGGATTTTATCCTTTATTGAAAGATTTATTTATGTGAGAGAAACCAAGAGAGAGAACATCAATATGTTACGATATTTTATCAAGGGATTCCGATAAAATGATCTGAAGTATCATATGTCTTAAATCATTTGGAGTTCTTTTTTCTTGTTTTTTCTAAATTTATTTTGTTGATAAAGAATTGCTTGATTCGTTACTTAATATGCATATCCAGGTGTGTTCGTAAACGAGAATTTATGAATAGATTATAATTTTAATAAGATATATTGAATAGGTCAATGATTTGAAACTTGGATTTATTTCTTAAGTAGACAAGAAGTTTTTTATTTATTTATGAAGTGTTCTCTTCTTCTTCTTCTTCTTTTCTAATTGAAATTGAAAGAGAGGTCGCTTGTTAGTTGTTATTGCCGTTGTCACATACAACTCGATGCTTAATTCGATTATAAACAACAGGAACTCTTGTTGTCGGTTGATATTTAGAGAACGAATGAAGTTCACACAAGGCAATTGATGATAGGGGTAGACTCCTTTGATTTTGCAAGTCTATCGATCGACAATTATTTTTGTTTGTGTCAGACGATTTTCTTCTTCTTCTTTCTCTCTATTTCGGTTTCTTTTCTGATTTAATTTGATTATTCAAGAAGCCTCCTCGTTTTTAGGTTATGCCAGCCTTTGGAATTGAGAATGCAAGGAGGTAGACAGGGAAAAAATGACAGAGACAAAAATATGGTTTCATGACAAATAAAGTTAATAGGGCAATTATCTTATTTTTCTCATCCTTCCAGAACTCTTACTTCCCATCTACATTATACTCGCACAATTGATATTTGTCTCATAACAAATTACTTTTGCATGTCATAGATACTTTTCGCCTGATCTATGTAATATGACTATTAAAAAGGAAAAAATACTTGAAAATAATGAATGTATTGATTCTTTTCTTGCTATTTCCTAAATTAGTTGTTACAATAGTACAATCTTGATTTTTTTCCTTGTCTGATTTATCTTATGTCATCGTATGTTATTACAGAAACTCAAGTTGTTTTTTGTCATCAACATTGTTATTATTATTGTTGTCATTCTCTATCTAGTTAAATCTTCTGGTTTTGATTAGATTTGTCTATTTGAATATGTTGAAATACGAATATTTCTATCTGATTGGACTGGCAGCACCTTGTTGTAGTGTTGAACATTTTTTTTTTGCTATCGATATAATTTGAAACACAGAGAAGAGCAAGAGAGAGAGAGACGAGAAAAAAAGAAAGATGAAGAGTATTTTCTCATTACTCAATGTCGGTAATCGACATTTTCTTTTACAAAAAGCTTTGTAGTCGTCATCGTTGCATTATTATTGCGTTCATCCTCGATCATAATTTGTAAAGCTTCTTCTGCTTCGTCGCATCAAGCAATAGCATGTAGTAACAGCACGAAGCGAGTTCTTCTTCTTCTCGTTCTTCTGCTTCTTCTTCTTCTTCTTCTTCTTCTTTGCTACGAACGGGCCAAGTCAACGAGAAGAAAAAGAGAAGGACGGAAACAAGGGGGTTGTTGTGTTAGTAGTGTTACTTCTTCTCTCCTTCCTTCTTTCTCCGCTTCGATTATTCATCTCCGGGCTAGTTACCCTGAGAGTACGTCGGCGACTACTGCTCCAACTCCTTCTAGTGGTGTTGGTTTATAGGCGCAACAAAGCGTCCACGCGCCTCGCCCGCGCTATCGATTGCCTACATACAATTCTTTACCAGTTGCTTGCGCCTTCAAATAAAGACGCTCGTTCTTCTATTTCTCTTCCTTTCATCAGCATCATTGCTGTTTCAACCACTCGTACGCCATCATTGCACGTATTTATTTTGGTCGTTATTGTCGTTGGTGGTGGTCGCATGTTTTTGTTGTTGTTGCAAGACGAAGGGGTTTGTCGATCATGATATATGTCGCAATTCACCGCCACGACGTCGTCGAACTTTGTTTTCCATCATTATCATTATCATTGTCATTATCATCATCTCTTTCTCGTGATATTCGTCGACGACGACGTTTACGACAACGATCATTATGAGTTTTATCAAATGCTGCGCTTCAGTTCGTTCCTCATCGGACCATCAAAATCTAGCAAACAACAACAACAACAAAAGCTCATCAAAAAAGAAAGCTTGTCATCGGTTGTCTGCCAAATATGGCGGTACGTTTTATGGTTTTTTTTCTTATGTTCTCTTGTTGTTTTACTGCTTTCTTCATGTCATAGCTTTAAGGTAATCCGTAATAGTTAAGCGCGTGTTTAAATTGACAATTACTTATTAGTATTCTTTGACATCGCTAAATGTATGTGCAAGCAAGTGCACACACGCATATGCATACAAGTATGAGAACATCAAATTTTGTGCGCATGTGTGTCTTTCAACATCAAGTTTGAAGTAGTGAGAAGGTATTGCATGTGACTATGTGCGTGCTTTTAATCGATGCGCGCGCATGCTTGTGTATTTTGTTCCTTTTCTTTCTTTCTTCTTTTTTTTCCATAGTCATATAGAATAAGACAAAAGAAAGTCATCGTTATTACTACCTCATACGCAATGATGGTTAGCTATTCGTAAGCATACAGGAAGTGACTAGCGATTCTTCTCGTATTGCTGAACGTGGACCAAAAAAAACTGGGAAACGGAGAAATCGAGAGTGGGAAAAAGAAAAAGCTTTTTGTAATGTGATGCGACATGAATGAAGCATAAAGTAAAAGATGAGAATGATACAACAAAAAATAACATTAACAATTAAATATTACAAAAGAAACACTGAAAATATAAAAAAAAGATATAATGTCGACGATCTTTAGATAGATGTTAATTTTCCATCAAATACATATTAAATAAACATTATTTATGCATTTAATTGTCAAACTAAGCAATTCTTTTCTTCTTTTTACAGCCAATTCCGAATCATTACCAGCTTCGGTCACAGCTGATACAGTAAAAATTTTTCTTGGTGAACATCCCGAATTTCTTGATTCATATATTCAACAAAATGTTACTTCAAATACAATCGAACAATGGATATCGAAAAAGCCTCAAAAATCATCGCAAGTTCAACAACAGAAAAAAACTTCTGTGTCAACACATTCTCCTCCCCCTCATCCACCACGTCCATCATCATCATCATCAATGCCATTGGTTTCAGCACAAAAAAAAAATTTCTCATCGTCAACAACAAAAGTTCCATTATCAACAAATACTGGTAAAAAAAAAACAAGATTTATCATAATTTATCGGTCATATTTAGTCATTTAATCATTTCTATGAGTTCTTACATGATTTATGATCGCATCTACTGTTTTTTTTAACTAAGTGTCTTGTTTTGTATAGATGCAACAACAACATCTCTATTGGAATCATTCTCACATCCAATATCATCAACAACAACAAAATCAATGAGCAGAGTCAATATAAATTTAATTCATTTAAAAAAGAAACAATTTTTCTTTTTCTAGTTGGCAGAATTAACTGATCGACGTCGTTTATTGCATGAATTGACTGATGAAGTTAATCAACATGTAACTAAAGCTCAAATCTTATTTGAATTATGTAAATCAATAGCATCAAGTAAATTTAAAAATTCATTTTTTTTTGTTTGTTTTTCAAATAAATTTATTCATATTTATTTAGCAGTATCAGCTGATGGTTTTAATTTATATTTGGTTGATGAAACTGGAACTAGTATGCGATTATTCACTCCAGAAAATGACGAGTGAGTGAGTAGTAGATATAAGAGGAAATTAAATATAAAATGATTGTTTTTCTTTATTCTACATTATATAAAATTCTATTCGGAATTGATCCAGATTGTAACCGATAGTTACTGGTTGAAAAATATTTTATAGAAATGCCATCTTTTCTAATAAAACCTCTTGACAACATGTTTGCTAGCTCGTATCAAAATAATCAAGCAGTATTGTTTCAATAACTATCAATTATATTTTCTTTCGTTTGTTCATAAAATTCGTTTTTTCAAAAACACAATCATAACTGTTTTACTTGAGCTATACTTAAATACTATATGTTTTGGTAAAGATCAAATTTAGATTTAAATCATTGCTAGAAGAGAAACGTTAGATTTGTCTGAAAAGGCTGGGAGTATATTAGAATCAGAATTTTGGTTTTTTTCTGAGGTTCAATAAAGATTTTATAAAGTCTATTTTGCGAGAAAAAATGTCTATTTTTTCCGATTTTCGCCTTTTTAGCACAAAATGACCCTCTATTACAAGTCTGTCATATTTTAGCGGATTAACTAAAACACTCCAATTTTGCGTCATTTTGTAGAGTAGAGATCACCCTGAAGTACTGTATATTTACAGAGCTTATTTAATGCAGATTTGCCTTCAGAAAAATAAGACTATTGCCTTTAGAGAAATTTTTTTTCAGTCCTGCCAAGATTTTCTTATAACTCAAGTCATCAAAATTCTATGCTGATATTCTGAAAGAACACAAATTTCTGATTCTAATACATTACCAATGCATTTAAATATGCCAAAAAACTAGTCAAATATTTTTTCTAGAAACTTTTGGCCCACTTCTTATTTCCTTATTGCAATTCTGGAGGATTAAGTAAAAGGATGCTAAAGAAATACGCTTCAAAATAGATAGAATAAAACAATCTCTGTGTGATTAGCAAGAGCAGCTGCATCGTATTTCACATTTTAATCCCACAGGGATTGTGCTAACAGCTTTTTTTTTTCTATAAATCAAAAGCTAATTAAAAATATATATTTATTTTTTCAGTGAACAAGCAGCTTGTTTTGTTCCAATTCCAATCGGTATTGGCCATTGTATTGCTGGTTATACTGCATGGGCAAAAGAAACTATTCGTATCAATAATATAGCTATGGTAGAAAAAAAAAGAGATTTGATTTTAATTCATTCGTTAATCATTTTAATTTTTGAAGCTTGATATGATAAAATATCCTGATGGTCTTTATATTAAAGATGATAAAGTAACGACTGTTATGGCTCATCCAATTGTAAATGCCAGTGGAACACTTCTCGGTATAAATAATTGTTTTGTTATTTTTGTTTTGTTGTTGTAGTAATAATTAATTATATATTAAAATAGGTGTAGTTGAATTTTATCGAATTGATAGTACAATTCCATTTTCTGATGAAGATGTAGAAGTAAGTTCATATTGTTTTATTTCTATCCTATTGTTTAGTATTATTCCTATAAAAAAAAATAAAAATAACCTAGCTTTTAATTATTGTAAATGCAAGTTTGTGCCTATATATTGTCGAAAATAAAATAACAACATGTGTTTGGAAAACTTATTGCTTTATTCGTATGTAGTTGTTAGAAGTACTTATATAATAGCTTTACATATAATACTTGTATTTTTTTTTTAATTTTATTTAATGTAGTAAATAATTTCATTCTATTTTGCTTCAGGAAATTTTAAAATGCGTGAATGAGCTTTTCACCCAAACATATTACGAGGTATTAAATTCCCCATATATATACATATTTATACATATATCGATCCCTTTTCTTTCTTTCTCTTATTTTTACACTATTTGAAGTGAATTTTTATTTATTTATTTATTTTCTTATGTTTGTTCGTGTGTGTTTATGACTGTGTGGAAATTTATTTCCATTTCTTGTTTTATGTTGCTTACTTATCCACTTTCTCAGTCATATTATGCGGCTTATATACATATTAAGTTATGACAATCAATTTATTTGATAATGCATGTTGAATAAGAAAGATGGCTCGCTCAATAGATATATGTAACGAATGGGTCGTAAAGAATTCGACATTTTTATCGTTTTTTTTTTTTTTTTTTTTTTTTTGAAGACCTAAAACATAATTCCACAGCAGGTTGGATACAGAGTTTCTCTTTCTGAAAAAAATCTATCAATTTAATTTTTCAAATAGGATTTTCTTGTTGGTAAAAAATTCAAAAGATTCGTAGTTACTTAATTGCCTCATTTTGACAGTAAAAGACTGTTAAAGAATTAGTAACAGTTCTGCTAAAATTTTGAAATATGCGACATAGGACTCTATAGTATTCTGAAAACATTGAAAAGAATATTTTTCTAACAGATGTAAACCAGTGTTCGTTTTTGATTCACAATAACTCAAAGGTTTTCAATTGTTCATTTTAAAAGTCATATCACTTTATATTCAGTGTTGAACTCTGCATATACCGAGATAGCAATAAAAGTTCCATAGATAATGTCTCAGTTTTGGAATCATAGATTCCAATGCCGCACCCATAAATATCTTCATATATTAGTTCGAAGCTTTCTAATATTTCTAAACAATAAGTGTTTTATCCAGCATGAGGGTTGGGGATCAGAGTCTCTCTGAAGATCGGATTGACCCTTTCAGAATTTGCATGTATTGTACCAGGTACTATGTGTCTGTGCTGTCAAAAATAGATGTTTACTTTTCCGGAGGGGAAAATCTGGATAAAACACTGTAAACAGAAAAATCAACAGTTTTGACCAGATGGTAGAAACATAGAATATAAAGTTGTCTATCGTTGAGTATCGAATTTGATGAGTAGAAGCTTACACAAATCAAATAATGTCTGCAGAAAATACGAGATCGCCGTTAGGCAATTGCATTGATATGAGTCTTTTGAATTTCTCACTAACAAGAAAAACCTACTTAGAAAACGATAGTTTTGAAGAGCGAAAAGCTCTCGACAAAATGTCTAATTTTTGATCGATCACCCGTTATATATATTTATCTGGTTTTTATGTTTTCATATTTTGCTATTTTTTCAAACCGATAAACCGACTGCTTTTTTCTAAATTTTAATTGAATAATAGTTTTTCGTTATTTTATAGCTTTACCATTCAATGACACGAGAGCGACGTTTAAATGATTTTCTTTTGGCTGTAACTAAATCAATTTTTCAAGAACTTGTTAGTATGGATGCTGTGATGCTAAAAATTATGGTAAACAAAAAAGAACTACCAAAGAACATTATCTTTGAAATCGACAGAAAAAAAATATAAAACAAATTATTTGTTGTTTCTTATAGAGTTATGCAAAAAAATTAGTTAATGCTGATCGTGCCTCATTATTTATGGTTGATTCACGTACAAAAGAACTTTATGCACGAATATTTGATATTGGACGTGAAGAACATGATGTACTTGATTTATCTGCTATTAATGATAAAAATGGACAAACATTTTCACCAAATGATGAACGTGCATGTATACGTTTTCCTATGGATAAAGGTATTGCTGGTTATGTAGCAACAACTGGAAAAACATTAAATATTGTTGATGTTTATAGTGATAATCGGTTTAATCGGTAATAATAAATAATCAATAAAATAACTGAATTTGTTTTTCTGCTTTTATAGAGATATTGATCAAAAAACAGGTTATAAAACCAAAACACTTCTATGTATGCCAATTATGATTCAAGGAAATGTTATTGGTGTTGTTCAAATGGTTAATAAAAAGAATGGACATTTTACCAAAAGTGATGAAGAATCATTTGAAACATTTGCTGTTTATTGTGGACTTGGTAAATGAATTAGAAAATATTCACTTTTATAAAACACGATCTAAACAGAGTGTTGAAATATATAGAATAGAAATTTGCACTGCAATAGACAATGACAGACACTGGTCAAAAATCATCACAGATAGAGCCGACTGGCTCCAATATTTTTCAGCTCAGACTCGGGTTTTTGAACACCTTTAGGACTTACACTCAGTTAATCAAACTATTCAGGACCCAGTCGAATCGTACTTTGATGCTATCAATGAAATCAATCTTTTACATTTCACATACGACAAGAGTCCATCAAGCGCGGGACCAACCTGGCAGGCTCTAATCACAAACTGTGACAGACGTTAGACAGAGGCCATCACAAACCGTATATCAATAATAGCTCATAACAATATATTAATTTCTTTCTTATTGTATATCTGCAGGATTAAGTAAGAAATGTATCTCAGTATGAACAAAATAAACTAATGTCACTGTGATTAGTACCTGTAGTTATACTGTGTTTCACATTTTGACCCCGCAGAAATTGTAGTAACAGGTTTTTCTTTTGAAACATTAAAAAGTTTTATTAAATTATTTTAGCCTTACACCATGCATCACTTTATGATCGTATACGTCGTTCAGAACAAAAATGTAAAGTAGCACTTGAAGTTTTATCATATCATGCATCATGTACCGATGAAGAATATGAACGTATGAAAACCTACACACTTCCAGATAACATTCCTAATATAGAACGATTTGAATATTCTCCATGGGATGTTGTCAATGATATGAAACCACTTTATGTTGTGTATATGTTTCTTGATCTAGCTAATATGGATCCATTAAATGCGAATCGGTAAAAAAAGAAAAATTCTACAATTTAAAATTCAAAATTTTCATTTAGATTTGATTCTGAATGCTTAATGAGATTTATATTAACTGTACGAAAAAATTATCGGAATGTACCATATCATAATTGGTCACATGCATTCAGTGTTGCACATGCAATTTACACTGTGATAAAACAAACAAAACATCGATTCTCACCAAATGATGTATGTTTTTTTTTATTAATGCAATTTGATTATTTTGAAAAAAATTTCCTTCGTTCGTTTGAGAATGATGAATAAGAAAAGCACGAGATCTTGAGTTTTTTATCGGTTAGATTTCTTTCAATGATTTTCAATTATATTGAGGGTTTTATTCGATCGTGACAATGTCTTGAGTAAGACTATTTTAAAAGGATTATCATTATTAAAATAAATGCTAGATTAATGGAAAACAAACTGATTTCTAATGTAACAAATTATGAAAAACCATTAAAAATAACTACACGTGTTCAGAATATTAAAAATAGCTTTAAGTAGTTAGAAACTACTGGATACTATCAGGAATTATTGCCTGTGATAAGATCAAACCGTGAAGTTCCAATTTCTATCGATTTTTTGGAATTGAATGGTTTCTAAGAGTTTTCGATTATTTCTATTTTTGTTTAAATCGCTAGAAATCATCAGAAACTATTAGAAATCAATGAGAACGAGAATTCAAGAAAACCGCTTGTTCCGCCTTGTGTTACACTAGACACTAAGAATATCAACTAATCTTATTTTTGGCTATTGTGGAAGCTGAAATGTTTTGTTGACATAATACGACTGATATAGTTTCTAATATTTTCTTTCATCAATGCCCAGCTATATAATAACCCATCAGTCTTGTTAATTTCGAATCAACACATATCAATGTAAGTTGTTTACAACCTCTAAGTGTTTTTTAAAGTTTCTTTATGGATTCGATCATACGTCTGTCATAAACCTTCTTGATTTGATCCATTCATAAGTTTATCATGTTAGAGGAAAATATTGTAATTAAGGAAAAGAAAATCGATAAGTGTTTCTAGTGAATAATACTCAAGACTTTGAGTATATCATAATGCTTCAGTATGTACTAGAGGTCCAACGGGCTGACTTTCTATCTATTTTTTTTAATGGTAATCTCATGATAAAAATAGAATAAAGCACTAATTTTCATAGAAAGTCTAATAAGTCACTGAAATCAATTTACATGACTACAGCAAAAACTCTCTAATGTGAATCTTCAAGGAAATAGTTAAAAGTGTGCTCTTTTTATGTGTACACGAGGTCATATAAGAGTAGAAGTAGAACAAAAAAAAAACATTCACCTTAGGAAAGTTTTTTCAAATGATGAACACGTTTACAATCGAAGCTTTTTCTATTGATTAAACATTTATGAATTTAAAATCCGTCATACATAAAAAAATACTAAATAAAAAGACTGTAATCTTGAGAAAAAAAAACTGATTTTTGTTTAAGAACATTTTGATTAAATCTGACAGATACAAATGTCATTTGAAGTATTACAAATCACAAGAGAAGCGACATTCAGTAACTGTTGAACCTACAGTAGAAAAGACCATTTAACTCTAACGGAATTAGCTGGGATTGGAAAAAAGATAACGAACAAGTCTTGATAAACGTGGGCATCTGCGTTGATAACCTTTCCAGAATAGTAATGGATCTGATGTTAATAAGTTTTTCTAATATTCATTCTGAAATATTTATCTAATTCCTCATATTTAAATGTCATCCTTGAAAATTAACTCAATTGCATCTATATATTGGGGACATATTCAACTAATGAGATAATCTATTACAGGTAGGTAGGCTTAACAATTTCTTTGAGGCTCTGGCACGTAAAGCAGCGAAAAAAAGTTTAACAAAACGTTTTTTTTCTTCCATAATGTTGAACAATTAGCTGAAATTCAGATAGTCGTTTTAATAGCCAATGAAGTTTCCTATCTAATACAGCCTACAACAATGTTTCATAGGTGAATTATGATGGCAAGATTTCTAAAAACTCCGAACATGGTTGTTTTCAGATCCCATAAGACTTTGTCAAAGCTACTTTTTAACAATGTCATTTTAGCGAGCACTAAATTCTCAAGGAAATGAGAGGTTGCCCCATTTTCTACGATTTTTCCTTAAAAACTTACAAGCAATACAAAAAAACGAAATTTATCAAAAAATCGACTGAAAACACCCTTTTTCTTTTTTTGTAATGCTTTTAAGTTATTAGGAGAAGGTCATAGAAAACGTGGTAACTCATAATTGTCTTCAGAATTTTGTGGTCTTTAAAATGACATTGGTAAAAAATAGCTCTAGTAAAGTCTTATAGGACCTGAAAACTATCATGTTCAGTTTTTAGAAACCTTACCATCATAGTTCATCTATGAAGTTTCATTATAGAATAAACAAGATAGAAAACTCCATTGGTTATTACAATCAATATCTGACTTTTAGCGAATTGCTTAACATTATAGAAAAAATAAAATAAAAAATACGTTGTTGTTGAACTTTTTACCATCACCTCAAAGTGTCAGATTCGATAAAATTTCAAAATACTGATGCAAAATATCCGATGAAAAATTAAAAAACTTTTATCTTTAGTGTATTGCTTTGTTTGTTGCTTGTCTTTGTCATGATCTTGATCATCGTGGTAAAACAAATGCGTTTATGGTAAAAAGTGCATCAACATTAGCTTCAATTTATACAACTTCAACTATGGAACGACATCATTTTAATCAAACAGTCACAATACTTCAAGTAAAAAAAAGATAATTTGTTTCAAATAAAGAACTAATTTAATTGTCTTCTTTTTTTTTTTGTTTATTAACTTAATTATTGTAGACTGAAAGCCATAATATATTTAAACACTTCTCTTCAAAAGAATATCGACAAATGTTAGATGAAATTCGTCATTGTATATTAGCCACTGATCTGGCACTTTTCTTTGAAAATCGTCCTAAACTTGAACGTATTGTTGATAATAATGAATACAATTGGAATAACAAGGAACATTTGTGAGTTGTTAAATCATTCTATTTTCCATATGATGACCAAAAAAAACTACAAGGAATTAATTTTTTTCAAAATTTGCTGCTGCTGATCACCCTTTGTTTTTCTTCTGTTTCCTCTAATCCTCTGTTGCTAATTGTGTTCATGTGGTGATAGTGCCTATTTCTTGTGTCATTAGTTTTCGAAGTGTGTGTGAAACTTGCGCACACACACTTCACACTTATCAAAATTTGACACACGTGAATAAACCTATAACAAAAAAACCGAAGCATCCACTAGATAATGAGTAACATACACATTTTTCCTATTTTTTTGATTTTATTTCACACATTATTCTTCTGATTGCTGTGCTTTTATCTATAGGCTATACTTGATGGGGCTCAGTATGACCGCTGCTGATTTATGTTCTTCATATAAACAATGGGAGATGCAGCGGTCGAATGTGAGCATCATCATGGAAGAATTCTTTCTGCAGGTGATTTCATTGTTTCATACTTCGCCATGCTTTCTTTGTCTTTTATCTCTCTCTCTTTGTGTGTATATTTATTAATATTTCACAAAGAAAGCAGCACTTATTAACTGAAATACATATTAATATTAACACATGCACTATCACCACTAGCACATTACTTGAGGAAAGGAGGAAGCAGCTAACGAAAGCTTTTATTCTTCTTAATTATTTTTTATTTCTATGTACAAAAAAACAAAAAAAATCTTTTCCATTGCACTCACAGAAAAATCCATCGTACTTTGATGCTCTATTGTCTGTATTTATGTGTTTTATGCTTCCAGTCGACGCTTGCAATCATTATCAATGACATCTGCCGACTTATGCGCCATGTATAAACCTTGGCCTATACAACAAAATATTGTCAGCATTATCATGGACGAGTTTTGGGAAGAGGTGTGCTTTTTATATGTATTTGTAACTGCTGCTTTCTGCTAACTAATATACGAATTAGAGAGAGAAATATGAAGGTTGTTTTTTTTATTTTTATTATTATATTTTATTTCCATACAGGGTGATGAAGAAAAACGTAAAGGTATTCAGCCACAATCATTAATGGACCGATCACTTGCACATGAATTACCAAAAAATCAGGTAATTTGCTTTTTTTTCAAAGACAGTAAGTTCTATTAGGATACAAATAAACAAAAATTTCTCCATTGAAAAAATACCAAAAGCTTTTTATTAAGTCGCCTAAGTCAGAAAAGTCGTTTTCGTTAGAAAAATCGAAATTAAGATAAATGCATTCGAAGATAGTCAAAAGTTTGATCTTACATAAACGAAATAGTTCGTTTATTTGACACCTTATTTGTTATCAAAATCTTACGATGATTTAAATTATTTTCTACTTGAAAAATGTTTTCGTTTGTTTGCTTGCACATCCCAGAATTCTCAAAGGAGCTTAATTGTAGCTAATTGTCGTTTCTTTTGTTTGAAAGAGCATGTGAAGCTGCAGTGCCTGGTATTGTCTATTTTTTGAATTAAGCTTTCTATTATGATATAAAAAAGCACTTCTATAAATTAGAGTACTATTTTCTTTTGAGTGTTTTTCGAGGTATTGAACTTGTCATCTTCTTTTGTCCTCATAAAAAATATGAATTTAATGAACAGAACTGTGTCAATCCTGTAATCTGACATGTTCTCTTGAAATAAAAAAAGAATTAAATATAGAGAATGAGAGGTCATAGAGAATAAATGAGCTATTTTGATCCTTGTTTGTTTATGAGGGGGGCTTAAATTATTGATATGAGTATGCTTGCGAAAAGGAAACAACAAACTTCAATTCTGACGTCTCCAGTATCTCACCCTCACATACTGTTGACATCTTGAGAATAAAGCTGAACTAATGAGGTCACAAATTTGAAGAAAATGATAAATAAATATAGCATATTGAGCATAGGCGGTGAAAGGTTTTAATTCTAGGGTAACCTAAACATTTGTTTAATTAAATCCTCATCTAGCAGTTAAAAATAAGAGAGCAGAAGTTTTTAAATGTCACTTACAATGGAACCTTCTGTATTGTTAATCGAGTTGATCGACCATATTCGGGACACATGAAAGCTCTCACTGTCAAACTAATAAATTTAAAATATTACGTCCCCATAGCGTACCTAGAGCAAGTTACATAAATTTCAACGTATGTGAAATTTAGGTATAAAAATGAATCAGTAAAGGCTTTCTCCACTATTGTAAGGAGAAAACATGCTGTTGTTTGGGCCGATCAGAGGCTTGGAGGGGCTCTCTTTCATATGGCCCGAACAACAGCATGTTTTGCCCTTATAATAGTGGAGAAAGCCTTTACTGATTCATTTTTATACCTAAATTTCACATACGTTGAAATTTATGTAACTTGCCCTAGGTTCGCTATGGGGACGTAATATTTTAAATTTGTTAGTTTGGCGGTGAGAGCTTTCATTTGACCCGAACAAGGTCGATCAACTCGATTAACAATACAGACGGTTCCATTGTTAGATGAAATACAGTTAGTATCTCTTCTATTGAACTCACATTTTGCAATGTGTAACAGTAATCAAGATCAGGAAAAAAATCACAATTTGCGTAAAACCACAAACATGCGAATGTTTATGTTCACATGTTTGCAACCTTCGAAAGAAGAGATTTTGATCCGCTTTGCTAGAAAAGAAAAGTTTAATAGCGAAGCAGACAAGTTTCACAAAAAAAAAGATGTTGCATTTTGAACTTCTTCACTGTTGAAAATGTTTAATAGACATGTAATCTTAGTCGCTAAGGACGACAGAAAATTTCAGCAGATTCTAGCTGATCTGACTCAAATTTTTCGTACGATCCAACTGTACTTGTAATAAAGGATCTCTACTTCAATTCATTGACGATGTATGATTCAATATCTATTACAATGTTTCCTGAAAAATGTTTTCTAAGTCTGCTAGAATTAAGAATATGTTATTATTACCTGTTGAAGATGACAAACAAAACATTCACGTTTGTACAAAAAATGTAATGCAATGTTCAAATCTATCAATCTGCTGAAAGGAGAAAAGTGTTTGAACCTATCCTAGTCTACGAAACGTGAATCTATACTAGGTTTTCGCTTTCCCAAACTTTGCAGCTCCATCGACTATGTTTATTGAACGTGACTTGGAAGTAGATAAAATATGGACTGAATTTGTAATAATACATCACTTGTTGGAAGGTATTCTTCTTTTCTTTACCGGTCTTAGCATTGGTCTATGTAGACCTTGTGGCTGTGCCACCTATGATATCGAGTATTGTTGATATTTTATTGTTCGAAGTTTTGATAATCAGATAACAAGTAGTTTTTGAAATAAAAATTCTGTTAGAACATGTTCACATTTAATATCTAATAAATTTCTTTATGATTTTGTTTTCAGGTGAATTTTATGAAAAGCATTTGTTTACCGTGCTATTCGTTAATAGTACGTGTTTTGCCAGAAACAATGCCAATGCTCATCGGAGCCAAGTATTGAAAAATATGAAAACAAATTTTTTTTTTGCTAATATCTTGCCTTTGTTTTTTTTTTCCTTCAGAAGTAATCTTCAACGATGGCAAGATTTAGCTAATGAAAAACAACAAGTAACTCATACGAATTTAGCTGCTATATCTCCTGGTACATCAACAGATGATACATCTGATTCTTCTCGAACTCCTCCAACTAACAATATTCGTCAGCCAGCATCGTCGTGATATGCTTTTGTTTTTCTCGAACGGTTTGTTTTTGCTACAAAAAGAAATAAAGTATTTTCAAAAATAAAATAATGTTCGTGTGTATTTTATTCTCTCGTTGTTTTTGTGTTCATTTTCTTCCTTATTATTTTTTTTTTCTTTCTTTTTTTTATATAAATAACACAAAACAATGTTGATTTAAGACTTCTAACTGCATCATTCTCCAAAAATGAACGTATTCTTTATTTTCACATAGAGACAAATGACAATGACGATACATCTTTTCTTTTATGAAAAAACACACAAACGCAAATGACTAAATACATGTTATGTATAGTGCGACAAGAGAAAGAAAAAGAAACGAAGAGAAATAAGAAGACAATGTTTTGTTTCCTTTTCATCAAAGAATTACTGAAATAATAATAACAACAACAACAAAAACAAAACAAACAAAAGTTGTCTAATATAATTTTGTTTTTTTTTTCAAATGTGTCAATATATGCGTATGTGTGTAAGAAAGAGAGGGAGAAGGAGATATGTAATCGTGCGGAATAAGTCAGCACAAGAGAAATGATGCTTAAAACATCAAATAGACAAGAAAAGAAAAAAAAGAGAAGCAAAATAAGAAAACAAAAAAGAAAAAAAAACAAATAAATGAATATGTTTATGATGATAAAGGTTCATCATTATCATCTGTATCTCTAGTTGATGGTGGTGTACGTAAATCGACAAGACCTTTCTCACGTATTACTTTTAATGCAGCTTGTTCAGCAGCACGTACAACATCTTCACTATGATCGACTAATGATATTATATTAACACCATCCCATTGAACACCACATGAATTCAATAATTCATGAACCTTAAATTCAAAAATCAAATATATATATATATATATACCATGAATTTTCGTATATAATTTTATAATTAGAAAAGCTGGTCACTAAAGTTTAGTCCTGTGGAACATTCAGGACTATTAAAAAAATTGTAAGAATTGGTTGAGTGGAGTTCGAAACTCGGGCAAAGTTTGTCTCGCAGGACTCAAGTGTAGCAGCTCGTAGGGGGCTAAATTTCTTTTTTGTATGCATCGTCATTATTCGCTTTTTTCTTGTAATTTTCATCCTCTGTGTCTTCTAATTCAACATTATTATTTTAACCATTGATTTAACTCGCAAATAAGCCTGTTGTACATATCCATGGTATCTACAATCAAGTCTCAGTACACTATTATATGTCTCAATAAGGTTCTAAACACTGAGAAGGCTTTCGAATATTCTAGAACAGTCTAATTTTTGTTGTTAATGTCGTTCATCACCTTTTGCCGTTGCTAAGAGAACCCTGGAAAAGCGAAATCTTACGCCTTTTGTTCTCGATTATTGCGGAAAATTATCGAGTTATCTTTGGTCTTTCTCCCTTCCTCCCATGTTACTATGATGAGTGGGAGGAGGGGGGAGCAGAATGATTGAGTCTCAGACAAAAAAAGACGCTGTGTGGACAATTTTCAAAAAAAGCGATATGTTGTGTTAACAAATTTCAGAAGTGGGAGGGCGTCACAAATTCTCTTCCACACAAGCCACGCTTTGGGAGAAGAGCAATGAGATGTCGACTTAAAGAAACAAAGTCAAATCTAAATCTTACATCACTGTCTGTAACAGGTATTTCTTGTGTTCCACCTGATGTTGTTTCAAGTAACATTCGTACATCAAAACCAGCTGCTTGTTCATCATAATGTATAGCGGGATGCTTACCACGATAAAATAAAATTCTAGCTCGTTCATTTGCTTCACGCCAACTAAGACCACGAGCAACACGATGTGATGATGTACTACTATTCATTGTTTGATCGCCATTAATTGACGTTGATAAATACCGTGAAGATTCATCATTTAAATGTTTTGATGTTCCATAAGCACCGGCACGTGGTGGTAATGAAACATACATTTCTTTAATAACTAAAGCTAAAAAGTAGAGAAAAACAAAATTAGAAAAAAAAAAAAAATTTTTGTTTTTTAAAATAAAGAATTTACGTTTTCCATCTAGTCGATCTTTCATTAAAGTTTGTACTTCTGGTTTATCAATATCATCAAATTGATTTGTAGCATGCGCTTGTTCAATAATATCAACAATTTGTTCAATTAATTTTTCATGATTATGTTTAAAATCTTTTTTTAATCTATCTTTCAAATCATTATAAGTTTTAAATTCTCCAATTTTTTTTTCTTCTAAATAATGAAATGTTTTATTAACATATGTTTCAATTTGATTTTCATTGTATAATGGTTTATTATAATCATATAATAAATTTGTTATTGATGAAATAATTTTTTTACGATTTGTTTGTATATTTTGTTTAGCACGTTCAGTTAATAATGATGATGCACGTCGTTTTCCATTAGCACTTATAACATTAATGGATGTTACATCTTGTTGATTTGTAGTATTTGGTGATTGTTGTAATAATAATAAACCATCTTTTTGTGCTTGTTTTACTAATTCAATTGAACGATCACATAAATTATGTGCTTTAGAAAATTCACGTCGTAATTGAGAATTTAATTCATCCCATGTATATACTAAATTTAATGAAAGTAAATCTAATGTACGATTTAATATTTTTTGTAATTCTTTTGTTTGTTTTTTTGTTATTTTTTTAGTTTTTAATTCATTATCAATTAAATATTGATTTAACCATTGTAATTGATTTGATTTTAATAAATTATGTTCTTCTGTTGTTAATAAATTTGCTTGATTATATACTTGATTATATAAATTAGCTGTTTGTGTTATATTTGAATCTAATATATCAAGATTAGTTTTTTCGTTCATTTGTGTTATATCACAATGATCAAATGTATCACGTATGATATCAGTTATTGGATCAACAAGATAAAATGTTTGTTTATATTCTGTTTTTAAATCATTACGAATTTGTTCATGGGAAATAATTTTTGGTTGATTTAGAAGTGTTAAACCTTTACGAATTATTTTATCAACTTCTTTTGAATGTTCAGAAAATTGTCGTATTGGTGGTTGACTTGATTGAATATGATCACGTAAAATATTACCTAATTCATTACGATGTGTATTTAATTGTAAACGACGACGTTCATCAAGTAAACCAGTATTTGTTTCTGTTGTTGGTTTAGGTGTTGTTGATGATGTTTTCTGTTTCGATTTTGAATGACCACATGTTAAAAATGAACGTTTTGTTGGTTGTTCTTGAGATATTTGAGTAGGTTCTCTATAATAATAAGAAGAAGAAAAAAGCTTTTAGCATAATTCTGTCGAGAATAAAATATGAAACAAGATGGAGTTGCTTTTACTAATCATAAGGAAATTATTTTATTCTATTTATTTTGTGACACATTTCTTCATAATGGTATTTATTGAATTCTCCACAAATGCAATAAGGAAATAGTTATTATATTATAAGATGTTATTTATTTAAGATCTGTGATCGTCTATCAACAATGTTTGTCGTGACAGATAGACAGATAGATTGTCAATACTGATAGAAGAAGAGCAAACACAACTAACAGAACTAACCAGGGAATGTCTGCAGTTGGTCTCTTGCGGTTTCAATGACTTTTTTGTCTATAGATACTACATTGTATTCTAATAAAAATTCTTAAGAGATTTGGAATTGACGAAGCTATCGAATTTTTTCTATTGGCTCCACATTTTCATAAAACTGGTATTTTCGTATTTTTGAGATGAAACTTTGTGCATATGAAGAACTCAATTAGACTAACTTTCATAAAAAAAATTCATAAATTTTTAACAAAGTCTCTTCGAGATGTGAAATCTTTTTCATAGGTATGCATTTTTTTGAAAGCTTCATATATCTCACTGTAGGAAGCTATTCTGGTTGGTTTCTCTATATGAACAAAGTTTTAGATCAAAATTCGAACATATGAGTTTTACAAAAATCTTGCTCCACGAAGAAAAAAATTCGATTGCTTAGTCCAATTCAAATTCTTTTCAAGATTTTTCTTTTTAAAAAATCATTGAAATCGGAAGGACAAAGGTGAAGAGGTTCTCTCGTAATTATGAAACTGAAATAAGAAACAAGAAATAAATAAATTTTAATAGAATAGAAGACGATACATAGAGAGATGACTAATGGCAATCAAATTCAAACAAAAATCAACATAATTAATGAAACCAGTACATCTTTTTCGGATCATATAAACCTAGAGTATAGTATAAGTGGATCTAGTTTTAGTGACAATGATCATAAAACACAGTAACCTGAGCTTAGATCTAGATCACTAGACTCCGAATCTTTGCTCTTCTAACCATGATTTAGCGCAAGTTGTCACATGCATTATGGTTCCTTGTTGTTTTTCATCAGCAAATCTACTATTTTTGAAATAGTGATTTCTTCTATTCATGTTAATGCAATGCAACGATCAATAATCTTCATTATAGAACCATCTAACAAATATACATGCGTGGAGGATCCGAATTTCTACTTCTATACTTTAATACTCGTTTCAAGATCGTATTTCACAAAATATATGATTAGTAATGATTTTCTTAATAACATACTTTGCTACGTCTTTGTTAATTTGTGTTATTGTCTCAAATGTTTGTTTAGCCGGAAGACGAACCATCTGTTAAAATAAATATAAATGAATAATGAACAACAACAACAACAACAAAAGAAAAATGATTAATAATAACTTACATCACGAATAGCTAATGGAAATTCTGGTTTATCAAGATTATCTAGACCTTGTTTTTCGATAGCAATATAAAGTGAACGTACAATAGGATCAATAATAAAAGCATCATTTTTATGTTCAACAATTAATTTTTGTTTTAATTCAGGATATGTTGTTACTTTTTTATCTTTAATTAAATCAATAGCATGTGTAAGAATTTTATTTAATGATTTATGATCTTTCTTTGTATCATAATCGTCAATTGATTTTGATATTTCATTTTCTAAACATTTTTTTAAATCTTTTTGTTCATATATTAATTTAGCACGTAATTCATCATTCATGGTTATTTTACGAGTAAAATCATGTTTTAATACACTATTATCAACTTTTGGTTCTGTTGTTAAATTTTCTTGTTGAATATCAGGTAATGTTAAATCTTTTGTTGTTGCACTATCGATTATTTCACTACCTAAACCTGAACTAAGTGATGGATGTTGATTAAGATCTTCAATTGTTTGAGTTGTACCAAATGTTGACGATGGATGCATATGAGAAGATATTATTGCTTCAAGACCACTGTCTGAACGAGATTGTGTTATTGTTTCTTCTTGTTTTATTGATGATACATAAGCATCAGTTTTTGGTGGACCAGATAAATCAAGTTCGGGAATATGTAATGCTGGTGCTTTTATTTCAAAAGATGAAACTTTTTTTGATTCATTCTGAATATCCTAAAATAAAAGCACAATAAAATTTTTATCAATATTTACTGAAGAAATTAATATTTTATCTAATTAAATCTTGTTATCTATTTACTTTAATATACATTTTTCTAGTTGAATTGAAGAATTTTCTCCAGCTAAATATTTTTATTCTTATTCATATGTTATCTCTCATCGGCTTAGATAATATTTGTAACAAAGTAGAAACAAGAAAGAAACCTTTGGTAAGCTAATTCATAGTAACATAATGTCTTATATAACATAAATATTGTTGAAAATGCCAAGCTCTTTGCTCTATGTATGTTCTTAGTTGTATCGAGGTCATGTCTTCCATTAGGGAATGTCCTCGTAAAAAAAATCCTTGCGTCAAGAGAAATAAAAGACTAGAAGCATTATATATGCTTATAAACTCCTGCTGTGTTTCTTTTATTTTCATGGCCCTTATATATAATTAAATGAATGAACCTAGAGTGTTGATTATGATGTCATTAAAGTTAAACATACTTTGATTTCTTCAACTGATTGCTTTTCAATAGGAGTTATTGTAGTAATTGGTTCAATCTTAATGTCTTCTATTAATGGTGCTTCGATAACAGTTGGTGGTATAACATTAATTTGTTCGTCTAATTGTTTTTCAATGACGGCTGATGAAATAGTAGGCGACGAAACATCAAGTTTTTCTTCAATTTGTTTATCTAAAACCAATGGTTGAACTAAAAGTTCTTCATCAGTTCTAACTTCAATTGATCTAATAATATCAGTTTGTTGTATATGAACATCATTTACTGTTGTTGTTGTAGGTAGAACAACTTCTGAATTTGCAACAACTGGTTGTGGTAAAACAATTTCTTCATTAACAATTGGTACTTTTGGTGCTTGTCGTTTTTTTTCACTTGTATGAATTGGTAGTAAACGAACTGATTCTGTTTGAGGTAATATTAAATCAACTGTTGGTAAATCAGTACTTGGTGCACGTAATGAGCCTTTTGTTTTTAATGTTGAAGATATATTTGATGATGGTTTAGATATATTAACTTCTGGTAAATCAGTTTTATGTGCAACAATTGTTTTTGTTTTATCTTTTTGTGCATTTGATTTATTACCAAAACATGAACATAGTGCAAGTGTTGATGATTTCTTTTTAACTTCAACTTTTGGTTCAATCTTTTGTTTTTCAGTTGATTTTATTGGTGATGTTGAAATTTCAATAGCTGGAACAATTTGTGATATATCTGTTGGTAACTCATTTTCAAATGATGGTGGAGTTAAACTTATATCTCTTGATAAAAGTGGAATAGGTTCTGTTGACGGTATTTGAAATGTAAAATCAGGAAGTTTTGGTGAAATTTCATCATTTTCAGTTGTTTGTTTCTAATTTAAAAACAAAAAACAATTTTAAATAATAAAAATTGTTAATCTAAAAAAAATTTACATGAACTATTGTTGGTAATTCTGGTGGTTGTACAAAATGTGTATCTGTAATTGTATATTTTTGTTCAGTTGATAATAATTCTGGTTTAATTATATCTTCAGTTTCATTCAAAGGTATTTTAGGTAAATCTGGGATTGGCTACAAGGCAAAGAAAAAAAAATAACAATAAATAAAAATTTATTTTATTATCTTACTGAATCTGTTTCAATAGAAAAATTTCTTTCATCAGTTTGAATAGCTAACATATCATGAAGAGGTGATGCTAATGCTAAACCATCTGTAACTGTTGGTAATTGTTCTATTTTATTATCATCTTTAAGATCAATAGATGCTGAAACTTCAGGTAAATTTTCTTTTTCAAATTTTAAATGTAGTTCAGGTAATTTAATACTTTCTTGTTCATTTGATGTTAATTGAAGTTCAGGTAATTGAGTATTTGGAGCTTTTAATGGATCAATTGTTGTATCAATTGTTGACATTGTATTATCGGGTAAATTTAAATTAGGTATTGGTGGTAAAGCAACAGCTGGTGCTGAAAATTCTGATGATTGTTTTATATGTCCACTTGCCATATTAACTTCAGGTCGATCATAATTTGGTAATAGAACATCAACGTTAGGTAAATCAATTTTTGGTGCATGTAATGGATCATTATCATGAACATGTATTTCATTTCTTCGTGTTAAATTCTGTTCAACTGATGTTTCATTAAGTGCTGGTGCTTTAGATTTACCATCACCATGGCGAAATAATGTTGAAAAAAGACCTGATTTTTTTTCACTTTTAACTTTTGGTTGTTTAGGTTTTTTAGTTTTCGATTTTTTTGTTGGTAATGTATATGAACCTTTTTTAGTTGATTCTTTTATTTCAACATTTGGCATTATTTCTTGTTTTATTGTTATTGTTGATTCAATTTTTGGCTCTATTTTTTGTTCTATTATTATAGGTTCAATTTTTGGTTCTATTTTTTGTTGTATAATTGGTTCCATTTTTTGTTCTATTGTTGATTCAACCTTTTGTTTTATTGGTAGAATAATATCATCAACAGGCTTTTTTATTTCGATGGTTGGAATTTCAGGAGATATTTCAGTTGTAAAAGTCTTAAGAAAAAAAACGGTAAAATAAATAATATGTGATGAAAGAGTTTTGGCAAATATGTTGAACTCTGTTTGACCATATAAGTAAATATCTCTAAAGAAATTCTTGCAACTTATAAGGTTTCTATTTCTCAATTATGTTCAGTAAAAAATAGAGCAAAAGTTTTATTTATATTGGTTTTCATAACATTTGTTTTAAATGGAGGCTTTTGCAAGAATGATCAGCTTGAAAGGACATCAAACAATTTCTTCAGATCATGCATCAACTAAAATTTTTGTACGTTATTTGTTCGAAACGTGTCACATCATGGAAACTTAGCAAAAAAGAAATCACACAAAGCTATAAAAACCCAAGGAATAAATTTAACTTACAATAAACCATTGAGAAAGATATTCTTTACTTTGTTAAAGTCATCATTAAACGTGTCTACTTATTTTACTTCTTAAATAGAAAATTTGACCTTGCGTTATCATGAAGTGGTAAGGACTTATATGAAATACAATGCAAAAGAAGTGTTGCAAATGTGCACAATGATATTAATCTAATCATCTAATATCGCCTTTATATTATATCATTGCCTATTTGTATATCACATGAGAATGAGAATAGAGACAATATCGAGATCAAGAAAGGAGATAATCTACACATCAGAATAGATACGATAAACTGATTAGTGATACATAGTCACTCTACAACAAAGAAGACGACAATACAAGGATAAAACGTCATGCAAATATAGTCAATGATATCAAGGAGCAAAGAAAATGACAATACTTGAAGAATCAACATAAAACGTCACACTAGGGACTACTATAGATCGTGACAAACACTATCTAGGGATCAGCATACGCGTGCCTTAGAAACGTCCTTGCACTGTGTCACAGACTGAATATGAATAAAGTCTCGTTAAACTACTTCCTTATTGCATTTGTGAAGGATTAAGTAAAAGGATAATGCAGAAATTTGTTCCGGAATAGATAGAATATAAAGCAATTTCCTTGTGATTAGCAACAACAGCTACATTGTTTCCGATTTTAATCCCACAGGGATTGCCTTAATAGCTTTTTTTTCGAGGTTTTTGGTTTTTCTTCCTTCTTAGATTTGTTTGATACAAAAATTTGGAGTTCATATATTACTCTTTCTAATAACAGAAAAAAAATCATTTTTTTTTTATTTAGAAGTTTTCAATATGGTCTAATAGAGTTTGATATATTTGTCAAGACTTTTCTATCGGATGTTAATTGAAAAATTAGAAAAAATGAATCTTTACTTTTTCTTCTGTATTTATTGAACTAGGTTCAATAATTGGTATTTCAGTTAAACGAGGAGTATCATATGTATTTGGTTCTGGTATTGATAATTCAGTTGGCGGCACAGGCTCGCTTGATGGTAATTGATAATGTGGTTCTTCACTTAGTACTAATTTTTCAATAGTTGCATCTAAACGATCTTCTAATTTTGGAAGATCCTATACAAAACAAAAGAAAATTCTTTTTTTCATGTTGAAATTTCTTCAATTTATTTACCATAGTAATTTCTTCTTGAATTTTATCGGTTTCAACATTAGGTAAAATAATTTGTTCATCTGTTGTTGGTGGTAATATTGGTAATGGTATTGATTCAATTGTTGATGCTGATAAAATAGCTGTTGTTGGTGGTACTTCATCTTTTTTTTCTTCTACAATAACTTTCTTTTGTTCAATAGGTGCTTGACGAATTTTAGATGTTAAATCTTTTTTCTTTTTTTCAGCGGCCTTTGCACCAAAACATGATGCGCATAAACCACCAGTTGATTTGTTAACTTTAGGTGTTTTTTCAGTTGTGGCAACTGCTTTAGTTTTTTTATGTTTTTCTGTTATAGGTAATGTTGGTAATGGTCCTGGTTTAACTAATTCAACTGCAGGTAAATCTACACCTGCACCATGTAAATTTATAATTGGTTTTGAAATCGTTGATTCATCAGTTTTTGTTAATGGAACAACGATTGATGTTTTTTCATATTGAACATCAATTGGTTCAATTGTTGCTGGTCGTGCTTCTAAATGTGTTATTGTTTTACGTTCTACAATTTCAGGTTGAATATCAATTGATTCAACTTTTGGTGTTTGTAATTCAATAGGTTTTGTTTGAACATCTAAAGATTTAATCGTTCGTTGTTGTACATCTAAGTTTGCAATTGGTTTTTCTTCAATTATTTCCGATTGAATATTCATTGGTTCAATTGTTGGTAGACGTGCTTCTAAATTACCAATTGGTGTTTGTTCAATTGTAGTTGCTTGTGATTCTGAATTTTCAGGTGTTATTGATCGTTCATATTCGATTGGTGATTTTGTCTAAATAAAATGTTAAAAAAACCAATGCAAAATTTAATATTCGAAAGAAAAAGCGTGCGAATAAAATCACTTCTTTTTTTTTTTTATCAATCTAATTATTGAATGTCGAAGGAAATTAGGAATAAATGTGCAGACGAATATGATCTACTCAAGGTAAACATATACACATATGTATATCAACTAGTTTGAAGGATGAATAAGCAATAGGTATGAAAAGGATATAACCGTGCAGAGAAGGTGAATAGATGCAAATAGATTTTTAATGTCTTCTTACAACAGGTAGAACGAATTGGGTATCGAAATCTTTTGGTTTATATGACATATCAAGGCCAGGTCGATCACGAAAAACATCAATATAAATACGTTTACTATCAGGTAAAATCGTATAATCAATTGTAGCTTTATCCCGAATAGGAATATTTAATTCTTGATTATTATCGAGAGTAGTGGCTGGTTTTATTATTGGTTGATTATGTTGTTCTAATGATGCTTTTGCCTTTTTATTTCCAAAATAAGAAAATAAACCAGGTGATTTACGTTTCTTTAGATCAATAGATGTTGTTACATTTGTTTTTGATGATATTTCTATTAAATCATTTTTTTTAACATTAATATTTTCTTTTGTGTCTGGAACTGTTTCTATTATGATCTCTTTTGAATATGTGCTATTAGTTTGATTTATACTCTGTAAAAATTGATTAGTAGTTTTTATATATTTTTCTTACATTCATCTTATTATTAAACAAAACAAAAGGAAAGAAAAAACTTACTTTATCGGGTTCATGGGATTGATCAATTATTGGTTCATTTATTGTCTCAATTTCATTTTTAACTTTACTTGCTAAACTTTCATATGTTGCTGTTGTCATTGAATAACCAGAATCTGATTGACTAAAATCATTTGTTGATGGTTCTTTCATATCACCAGCTGGTAATAATGATCTTCCAATATCAAATTGTAAACTCGAATATTCATCTTTATTATTTAATATAGCTTCAGTTAATGAACGAAATTGTTTTTCATTTAAATCAAGTGTTGGTTCAAATGATTGCTGTAATTGATATATAAATGGTTGTGATAAATGAAATTTTTCAAATGCATTTGCTTCACAAAGATTAAAATCAGTTAGATATTGTCCTGAGCGTTTAATACGTATTAAATTTAATGTTGATTCATCATCACCAAATGATAAGGGACGAAATAAATTTTTCATACGTTGTATTGTATCATTTGATAAACCTAATTTTGGATCATCTAAATGAATATATTCATATGCTATTGCTTCAGCTAATGTTATTGGTTTATGTGGTGATATGTCAGCAAGAGTTTTTTTTAATTGTTCTTCATTATAAATAGGTAAAGTTTTCTTAATATTATCAGACATATCGATGTCTTTTGTATGAACTGATGCTTGTTGTTTTTCGTGATCGTCGTCAGTTACTAAAAATAGAATATAAAAGAAAAACGGTTTCTTTTTATATTTTATTCATTTCTAAACACGAATTATTCTATTTTTTCTTTCTCTCTCATTTTATATACATGTACACAAAAGAAACCAAGGGAGTCACACTACTAACGTTCTTCAGTCTATTTGGAGAGGCAAAAAAATGAAAGAATAGGCAGGTGAAATCGAGACATTACTAAGCATCAAATATTTTGAGGTGCGTAAAGGTAAAAGTGAGTACGTAAACGAAGAAAATAGGTAAAATATTAAGCGACATCAGAGTCCAATTTTCAACATTCATCTTAATCGATTTTTCAATCAAGAACAATGAATTCAAATAATAACCCTGGTGGAACATCTTCCAACACTCCTGGCAAGACGAAGCATCGAAATATATTTCACTGGATACTTAAAAATTTACATGCAACACCTTTTATTTATACAGATGAACTCAAACAATATCCGATTAATGGATGTTATATCAACAATAATACGCGAACAGTTATAACAAAGAAATAAAAAAACGAACTATGTTGGACTATTATCTAATCTTGAATATATATTTGTACTGTATAATGTACTAGATATACATTTTATATATGTGTATAAATACATCATATTCGCTCCTATGTTGAATATTGACATATATGAGCAGCAGGATGAGGAACAAGGATCAATAGGATAGTGTGTTAAAGGACGATTATTCACGAGCAATCGAATGCTCAAGAATAAAATCGATGAATTTGTTTCTTTTAAGTTTTTTTTTCTGTTAGGTAGTTTGAGCTGATTAAAACTTACCAAAAGAATCAGAATAACGTCCCGGCGGCATCCAATGGCACTTAGACAAAACGTACCGACGGAATCTCATAGTATCGATATATTGAACTGTCGATGAACGATCACTTTTTTTTTCTATTCATACGTCCTTAAACAAACACCTATGTCTAGATGCCTATGTCACCAATGTGTATATGTGTCTATTGTTTGTCCAATCATCGATTCAAACTACGGCATGACCTCTCGCTCGTTTGTCAAAGTGAATATATACAAAAAGATCCTTTCCTTTTTTTTTTCTTCCCTTCTATTCTCTTAGTCCTTACTGTTTTTTTACCTCGTGATGTTATTAATTCACGATGATCATCATCAGCGTTAGTATTCAAGATAATTAAGATGACCGAATGTTCTCGTCTAATGGGTAACCTTTTTTTTTGGTGTTCTTTCTCTTTCTATTTGCGAAAGGAAATGGTAGAACTATTAACCGCTAGTAATGGCAATCAGCCAACTAAATATTCAATGAGGCATAATGATGCAATCGCAAATAGTAAAAGAAAAAGAATCCATTGGGTAGGGCTTATAGAGATTATCTCTTTCTTCTTCTCAGATTTATCTATATGATAAGCAAAAAATGCTTATACAAAAAAACTTCTTTTGATATAGAGATGATGTTATACTACGAAAAAAAAATCAATTCTCAACGGCAAGGCTAATACATGACAATGATCTGTTCATAGAAGCAGAAAAAAAAATTAACCTTTTTCATCAGATTGCCCATCATGTTGTAAACGTTCGAGTGTATCTTCAATTGGTTTAGTAATAACACTAATATTTGGTTGATGATCTCGTTCATTAATATATGTTTGTACAATAGTTATATAATCAATATTCTCTGGGAGATTTTTAATATCTTTTTCATGATGTATGGTTGAAAATGTATTTAATAAATTTGATTGTTTAGTTGTAAATAAATCTTCATATGTTTTAACCATTGGTTGAATAAATAAATTTTCTGATGATGCTTCTTGATATTCATTATCTATTTGTTCAAATAAATTCTTCCATGATGAACAACGATCATGTTGTAATAAATCAAAAATACGTGATGAAATTTTTCTTCCTTTAACATCTTCATTTGCTTTAAATAATTTTGATGGTAAAAAAACTTTTAAATGTATATAATTAATTAATAAAGATTTTTTATCTTTAATTAATTTTTTTATATCATCCGATATTAATTTTTGACCTTGATTTTGAGATTCATTTTGAAGATTTGTTGTTGTAAGTATGACATTTGTTGTTGTACTTGATGCTTTCTTTTTCTGTTTCGATTTTTGTTCAATTATAGTTGCAGCTTTTTGTTTACGTTGTTCTTCATCATAATCATTTGCTGTATTACGTGTGCATGAACATAAATTAAGACTTGACTTTTTTTTCTTCGGTTTCATTTCAATTGATTTTTTTTCATTAGTTGTTGTTGTCAGTTTCTGTTGTTGTGATAATGATATTGGTTGAGAAGATGAAGATATTGTTTCGATAACAGGACCACGTCCAACAGTTGTTGCATCAGCTAATGTTTGATCTTGTTTTGTTTCTTGTTCATTAATATTAATTATCGGTGAATGTTGTTTTATTGGACTATCAGATGGAAAATCACCTGATGTAACTATTTCATTTGATGGTTCATAATAATTTTCTTGTACATGTATTAAACGTGGTTGATCAATCCATGATGATGTTGTATGATATGTTGTTGGTGCATTATATGTTATTTGTGTTGATGATAATAATTTATTAACATCATCAATACCTAATTCACGTTTAGCACGTTCAAGATCATGTTGATCATTAATTGTTATTGTTCGTGTTATTTCAGTAACTTCAGTTTTAACAACTTTTGTTATTTTATTATGTGTTTCAGGATCTTGTGCAATTGTTTTTTTTGTTTCAATTTTCTTTTTAACTTTACATTCAAGATCTTTATCTTCTTCAACAGTTGTGACTATTTCTTCAATCATACCTTCATCATCGGATTGAATATTTTCATTATCATCTTCAGGATCACCACGATCAATACTTCGACCACCAATAAAACGTGCTTTTGCTTTATCAAGTTCCTTTGTTGCAACTTGTTGAACAGTTTCAATTGTTGGTTCCATTATATCTTTTATTTGTTTTTTAGATTTTTTTTCGTTTGGTTTTAATTCTTTATCATTTTCCATAATTCGTTCTTTATTTGTTGAATGATAAGATGTTAATGGTACATTAACAGTTGCTGTTTCTTCCGAGCGAGATTTATCAACGAGAATCCTAAAGAAAAGAAGAAGAAAAAAACTAACGCTTTGTTCTTTTGCACTTTTAGACAAATGTCTGATAATACACGGTACCGATGTTCTTTCTTTCTTCTTTCTCTTTCTCTTTCTGTATGTGTCTTTGTGATAGAAATTTAATTTGTAACCAATGATAGGTATTATTATTATTTTAATTTTTATTGAAAATTAGGTCAATTTTTTTTCTTTTTATCAAATATTTTGAATACATGCATTAATAGAAATTTATTGATTATTATTAATAGCATGCCCTTTTTTTTTAGCGACATCTGTGTTTATATAGCAATGAATCAATCAAGGTTAAAAAAGAAAAGAAAAAAAAAGAACTACATATTTTATAGTTGCCATATTATAAAACTATATATATATATACATTAAAATAGAGAATCAATCATGAAAAAAATTGCTCTTTGTGGTAATGTCAAGAGTCTATTCTCTTTTGTATGAAATCAAATCACATTGGTTATATATCTATTCGTTTAGTAATACTCTTATTACCGGAAATAGTCAATTTTACTTTTCTTTCCGAACAGAAATCTCTAATTTTCATACATTCAAGCATTATTTATATATAAACGTAGATTTTGAAGCCTAAAGGCTTATTCTAGCCAATACAATTGTTGACCAGTAATAAAGAAAAAAAAAATGCGTCAGGAAACGGCCTTTCTCTTTATTTTCGCCAAAAGGCTTTTCTGCTTATAGAGTAGGGCGACAATATCAATCATGCAGAAGAAGAGGTTTTTTATATGATTGATAACGATTATGTGACATAGACGCCTTATGTGTTCATTCTTCAAGAAATAAAAAAAGAAGAGGGAAAGACAATACATCTGCTGTGATACTATTCATTGTCTAACGATTCTATTTCAGTTCTGACAACACACAATTTATTCTTTATATTACTTTGCTCTCTATTTTCTTCTTGAGTGGGTTCTTGTATATATACACACACACGCGCCTAAGCGCTAGCGCATCGAGTAAGTGAGTTTGAAATAAATGTGAAGCATCACACATGAATCATTCTTCTTCCTTGCATATTCTTCGGCTCTCAAACTCCTAATTTGATTGACAAACAATACGTTATGCGTGTGAGCACGCATATGCGAGACCACAATATATATATAGTTCACTTTTCTTCTGATGCATTCATCGGATGAATAAAAACGCAATTAACTTTATCATCATTAATTTTCTTACCGAAATCGTTTTTTTCGCAATACATAGGGCATTAACTGTTTATGAGTTTTCGGTGTAAGTAATAGTGTATAGGATCCATTTCTTTCAACAACAAGATCAACTCCTGTTAAGTGCATTCGTGTTGTTGAATTATTTGTATCAGTAACAATATCAATTGGTGATGTTTCAATGGATGTTGTTACTGTTGTTGGTAATGGATTGAGAGGATTATTCGTATTTAAATTTGTTATTGCATTTGATTCAGATAATGGTGTTTGTACTAATAAACGAGCATTTGAACAACCCATTTTTACGTGTTTATGAATTGATGTATTTAAGAAAAAAATGTTTTTCTAATGACGACCATAAGACGTATACACATAAATAGCAAGTAAAAAAAAGAAAGGTGGCAGTAGCCCTTATTGCAGTCGTTATTCTATCTGCATTACACCGAGAAAGAGAGAAAGAGAGCAAAAAACTCGTTCGTCAAGCGCTGATGAGAAAAAAGAAAAAAAAAATGAAGAGAATAGTGAGCACAAGAGAACAAGAAAGAGAGCGAGCAAGCGAGGAAAACAATTTTCAAATGTCAAAGTTAGCAGCGACTGTAATAGTAGTGGAATCTTCTCTTTCTTTTTTTTTTTGTGTCATTGTTAAAAAAAAAAGGACGACTCACGAACGACCGACCGACCGACCGATGGCGACGAAAAACAGAAGGAAAGACGACGACAACGAAGAAGCAACGGAAGAAGAGAATTCTTTCTCTCTTCTCTTGTTTTACACATCATCACTTTTTTTTCTCGGGCATTTGCTTGCACTCAGTTTTCTTTTTTTGGTTTGTACGGCAAGCATTCTACTACCATAACTAACTTGCATCCGCGTAAAATATAGAAAGAAAAAAAGAGGACACAACGTCATCACCACTTCCATGTTCATCGATACGCTAACTTTTCTACTTAGGATAGAAAAAGAAAGAAAGAACTGACAATAGGAAAAAAAGAATGACATTCAGTTTTCATCAACAAAATCGAGGCAAAATAGGTGCAAAAAAATTCATACACCTTGTTTTTCTTTATGTTTTTTTCTTTTTTCTGTAATTATTTTGTTTTTCATTTTCTTTTAATAGTAGTAATGATGATGTAGTACAATCAATTGTGCCGATTGAGTTACATGGTGCTCGCGGGTAGTGACGGACACCACTTTTTTTTACATTATGCGCACAGTAATTGGAGAACACCCATGTATGCCGAAAAAAAAACCAAGGGAGAAAATTAATTGTTGTTGTTGTTGTTCTTATGCAAATTGAAGGCAACATCTTTTGGAATGATTACTCTTTTAGTCGTAATATTAAACGAGATTGATTTTATCTATTGATGTATGTATAATGAACCATCTGCGTAGACATATAACAAGCAAGCAACAAATACGACAAGTGTCTACGTGTTGACAAATGTGCGCATACATTCGTCCTTGTCTTTGATATAAACATTGAAGATCATAGAACCAATGGTTCTCGGGTATCGGAATAGATAGAATTGTATAATAGAAATATCTTATATGGTTTATCTCTCTCATAGAAAAAAAGAATAGAGAATATGATTGAAAGTAAGACATATAAACAAATTTTATATTTGTATTCTTCTACATGCATAGACACATCACATCAAGATAAATGAATAGATAAAACATTTTGTTGACAAATGAGGTTTTTCTTTTTTCGTCTCTTGTCAATATATCAAGCTTTTTCAATGCTAACACTCTTAGATCAAATACCATCCATGATGGGTTATAGAATTGATGATGTAAGCATATAAAACTATATAAAACAATTGACATTTCTCGTTTCTTTTTTTATTCTCTTATTCTCATTATTATAGGGAAGCGTATATATGATTATACATGTAAGCGTTAGTGCGTGAGGTGTTGCCATCAATTGTCTGAGAACATGTCTATCGTTGAATATACGTAAGCAATCAAAAAAAAAATCTCATATAACAAATATTCTTAGTTCTCTACTACTACTAAGGGAGATAAAACGCAAAGACACAACTTCTGTATACATCCAATATTCTCATTGAGTTTCGATTAGTTTTTCGGTTTGCTCGTTAAATCTATTGACGTCGTATGTACAAGATTAATCTTTACTCTTTTTTTTTTCTTCTATCTACCCACCCTCTTATGTGGACACACATGCACACACACCCATTGCGGAAGTCAATTAGACTGTATACGAAAGCGTACACAGAAAAGAGAGAGGCATGTGGTGATTTTTGGTAGCAAAGGTCAACTACTGGTCACCTGGTTGATACCCCCTGTGTCGCATTTTTTTGTTCTCACAACCTATAGTGCAATACTACAATAGATATGGTCAAGTCAATAAGTGCAGTTGATGCTCTTAACAATATTAAAAAAAATGGGATCATTTCAATCAGTGGCACATATATATATATATATTGATATGAAGGGCGATTTTATTCGTTTTATGTGTTGTCATCAAATAAAAGAACAAAACAAAACAAAAAAAAACGTACAGTCAAGTATATATACATCTAACTAACTTTGAAGCAAAAGGATAAAGTCATCACACTTCAAATTTGAACACTTCATTTCTGTTTTCAAAGATATCATTTCGCATGAACTTAAAAGAAACGCTTTTTTCTTTGCTTCTCTTTTTACTCTTGCTTAACAATGAACAGTATGTCCATTATTTTTATGCCATATTAGAATCAGACATGGAAAAATATTGCCTGTGGACCTTGACAACAAATGTTCCGATGGGCCACAGCTCGAGTTGTTTAATTGTTAAAATATCCTCTCTATTGCTAACAAATGTCACTTTAGCTTCATCTCGACAGTTGTTCGCCTAAGATCACTAGTTTACATCCATTTTTCTCATGTATATTGAAAAAAAAACGAATGCGCAGATGGTACCCCGTCGGACATTTTCTTTTGTCGTATTGTCATCTTCAAAACGAGAAAAAAGAAAACGGAACGGGAAATATATATATATATATATATATATATGCAAGAATATTGTTCGCAAAAAAGCTGACATTTCAAAAGAAATATTAATACACCTATTCGAACAAAAAAAAAACAATCTTCACAACTTACTTGTTTACAGTGAAATAACCAACTAGAGAGTGAAGAAAAACACGCGAACTCTTTCTATTTTTCTTTTCAAATGATTGTTTTCGAAGTCGTACAATGTGACGCAGATGGCACATTAAAAAAATATATATATGCATTGATGTCGACTTACTCATCATGGATGACTAATTTCATAGGAGAGAATAAAAGTACCGCAGAACATACTCAAGAGAATTTTCGAAATAAAAACAAACGAACTGTTAGAGAGCTTATAATATTTCCCAATAGAATCGAAAGTATAAGATGAATGACAATCTGGATCTAACCCGCAAAATCAATACATAGTTTATAGATATCACATTAATACAAGATGGTGATCTTACACAATACTATATATATATATATATATCAAATCTATATTGTATATCTTTTCTTTCACTACTAACCCTAACATTACTAATGCACATTTTTTTAGCTTATTTTATCGAACAAATAAACATTCTCTTCTATCAACGATGAAATTTAAGTGAATACAAAGCATTTTCTATTATGTTGTAGGCAAAGAAAAAAAGAAAGAGAAAAAAAGAAAGCCACAAAAAAGTATTAAGTGAAATATTATCCTACCTTCAATGTTTGTGTGAATGAAAATAGAAATATTTTCAAATGTAATCGATATCAAAGATGAGAAATGAATGAATCACAAAACTTCTACGTGGATGATTAAGTTAGATGTAAATGTGACAACAATGCGCAGGACGATATGAATGAATAAATGAATGAATGAATAAGAAGGATAGAAAAGAAGGATACAAATCGTGCGTGTGTATGTATGTACGCGATAGAGAAAAAACGCCAAACGATAGATGGATGGATGTCACATTAACAGTGGCAATTGTTGTACAGTGCCCAACAAAAAAAAAAAGCGAGAGTCAAACGATCAATAGTAGAGAAAGAACAAATGCATACAGACACGAGCATTAGTATAACGTCATAACTTCTTTTTCTCTCGTTTGTCTTACAATCAGTGAAGGTGATATGCTAGTACAAGCTGTCGATAGATTCTCACACATCATACAAGCCTAATATCGTTTAAAATTATCTGGACAACGATAGATTGATCGAAGAAATTAATTGCAATATAAATCAATACACTTGGACGAACGCATACACATCTGGTGCTGTTCATTGATTGAGTAGGATTTTCTTTACGTAATCAAACAATGTATCATCTTCAACAATATATATATATATTTAATAGTATAGGTCAAGCGAAAAGTACAGTTATGGTTGATGACATTCCACTTAATATATCATCTAGACACTTAAAAATTATTTATGCAAGCTACAATTCGATTAGATTTATTCAAACTCATTTTTAAAATGAACTTTTAAGTTAGGATAAACACAAATACATTTCTGTCTCTTTGATCTTCTATTGTACTTATATCTTAATCCATCGACGCGTGCTCATACATTGTTCAAAACAAAAATAACAATAGACAAAAAATAATACTTACAGATATTCTTCTCGTATTTAGACTTTTGTTGTTTTTTTTATATTCGTCAATCGTAAATTGATGAATGGAATGATACGTTTGTCTTGTTCTAAAATAAACGAGACCAGAATATGATAGTGCTCAAATAGTAATCTGTAATTGATGAGACAAATGATAGAGGTCACTACTTTATATTTGATAGATATTTTTCGATGTTCGAATTTCAATATTAGTCAGAAATACTTTACACGCATATGTATGTTTGTATGTATATGCCAACTTCTATTAATATTTTAATGAATAATAAATATATGTAGTCGGCTATTGGCGTTTTCTTCATTCGTTTCTTCTAATCTTCAAGTAATTGTACCCGACAGGAGATAAAAATCAAACTCAATTGATGATTAACGACTTTGAAAAAGGAATATGTCATAGTTTTCGATCTTCAATTTTGTTTTCTAATACATCGATTATCATCGCTATCATTAAAAATGTGATAATGCACAAGTAACAAATTTTCATACAAAGTCATTAGTGTTTACGATACTTTTAGTTTCTTTTTGTCTTACCTTATATTTTGCAAATAATGAATGCTTATGAGGGTGATGTTATTGTTGTTGTTGTCGTTGTGGTTTTTTTGTGTAAAAGTATAAAGAATGTTGTTTTTTTTACTAGAACACGCTTATTGTATTGCAATGTCCTAATATTTGTTTGTTCTGTCCAAA